ATTTATTTTTTTTAATACCTAATTAATCATTTGCCTAATTAATTACTCACTTAATTAATTTTTCACTTAATTAACTATTTATTTAGTTAATTATTCACCTAATTAATATTCATAAGGTGCCCTGCAGCCCTGACTTGAATGAGGGCACGGGCGGTCGGAAGCATAGGGCCTGCGGGATTTCCGCCGAACCAGGAAACTTGAAGACTCAGTTCAAAAGATCGACTATTAAAATTTTTGAAAAGAATCAAGGGTAGGTCGAATTATTGTGTTTTTTCATTTTTTTTAATTTTTCTTCATTTTTTAAATTTTGTTATTTAAACACCTTCACAGGCAAAGGGTTTATCAGCGCGCAAAATTTTTTTAACTTTTTTTCAAAGAATTGTGTTGCGTTGAGTTTTATTTTTTAAGAAATTTTTTTCTCAAAATGTTTCTGAATAATTAGTCGGGGTGCTACTTTCGGTTTCAAATTCAAATTTGATGAAAATTTCATTTTTTCAAAATTTCTTTTTCAAATTTTGAAAAAGGCGATGGAGATTTTTTCCAACTAAAAATTTTTTTATTAAATTTAGCGTTGCTTTTGAATATATAGATAGATAAATGTATGGATGGATCAATGAATTTTTAGATTGATAGATACATGAACAGATGAATGAATGAATGATTAAATGGATAGATAGAAGGATGAATGACTTGGATGGTGGATGTTTTTAAAATGCGTTTTATTTACAGAAATTACGAAAATATAATTAAATATTTTAACTCATACGGTTCATGATAACGGGTTTTATCGAAATAATTCCACAAGCCGTTTCAATTATTTAATTTTGGATAATGATTAACATAACATTGTACCTGATAGTATATCTAACTGTAATAAATATATCTATTTAATGTGTCTAATATATCATATATTGAATATATATCTAAATATAACATACATATCTATCCAATATATCTAATATATTATACAAGAAACTGATCTCAATTGTATAAGCATATCTATCTAATCTATCGCATAATGATACTCATTAATCACAACAAACATGTCTAAACATAATATCATATGTGAATTGAGAAACATCAACCAGTTTTTTAAGAAATCTATCATTCAACTAAGAAACATGCTGTTGTTTCTGACCTCTAGCGGGTGAAATTATTTTTTGGACAGTTTCAAAATCTAAAAGTTTCGTAGCATGTATAAACTTATGTAAGATCACATGAGAATTTTGCGATTTTGTACCAACAAATAATTCCAGTTAACTGTGTTATCATAATTATCATTATTTATCGATAATTAATTATTTATTATATTAGATTCAAACAATTTCTTTTAAAAATGCTCATATTTTATTTAAGAGCGCGCGCACACACAAACACACACACACACACACACCGTTAATAAAAAAGAAAAACAAATTTTAAAATTAATTAGAGATAATTGATCTACAAGAAAACGAATCGAATAACTATCGTAGCAAAAATTTTAAAACATTCACGGTAGACTGTCCGTCCATTTGCCGTCATAGAAATTGTTCTTCATGTATGGCAGTCGGTAGTGTCCCTTGCTCACCAAAGCCTGGAGGAAGGTGTCATTGTAAATAATTCTGACCAGCTCATAAAATTTTTTAATTGATATATAATTACGAGCCAGCGACTCTTTTTCCTCTTTTGTTATTCTTTCATTTTTAGAATGAAAAAAAGACGACACTATTTTATGTGACTGTCTGTTACATTTTGACTTTCAACAATTTCACAGATTATTAAATCCTAATATGTTTGAGGTGTCTTGTGATGTAGGGCTTTTCCTGATTGAGTGGCGACTTGATAGTTCTACTTGTGTTGACGAAGGCTGTGTGTTGTAGTTTTGATTGGTGGTAGTAGAGGACGGATGACATGGTCGTTGCCACTTTCTACTTTCTTGATCGGTCTCGAATCGAGTGGTTTTAAAATTTGTATTAATGAAATTTAACCTTCTGGCTCCTTCACAACGTAAAATATTAAAATATTACCACGCACGCACACACACGCACGCACACACACGCACACACGCAACGCTTATTTCCTCTCTATCTATCTATTTTACAATAGTTTGTCTATAGCATTGAGATGAATGTACATGAAAATAAACTCTCTCTCTTTCTCTTTCTCTCTCTCCTCTCTCCACTCTCTCTATCTCTCTAGAGAAAGAAAGAAAGATATATATATATAGAACCTTGTAGATCATTATTTTGAATAATATTCTCTAAATGGATGACGACGTGGGGTTCAATTGAAATAGGTCGCTCGCCATGATTTTATGGATTAATGGGGTATTTATCTTATTTTGCTGCTGTGGAATAAGTTTTCCACGTTTGTCCTATCCGTATTTTTTATCTTTTCATTAATTCATTCATCTATACGCTCACTGTTTCATTCATTCATTAATTCATTCATTTACATTCTTCCATCCATCTTTCCATTCATTCATTCGTTTATTCATTCATTCGCTCGTTTAACCCTAGTACTTTCATTTAATTTTCTTTCCACTCTACTATTCATTCACTTGCCCACTTTCTCCTTTTCTCATTCATTTATTTGTTTATTCGTTCGTTCATCCATCCATCCATCCATCCATCCATCCATCCATCCATCCATCCATTCATTCATCCATCCACCCACCCACCAACCCACCCATCCATCCATTCATTCATCCATTCATTCATATAGAGCGTGCAGTTATAAAGACAGTTGGTTGAATTTTGTGGTGGATAAAAGTGCCGCCTTCGTTTCTGAAATTTTTGTTACTGGATAATATTTATCTAAAAATTGAAAAATAATGAATAATTTTATTGAATAATTAATTAATTGAGTCAATTATGTATGCAATATAAAAAATAAATAAATTATTAATAAATAAATAAAAGACTTAATTATTTGTTAGAAGAGCTTCTACGTTCATTACTTGAATTATTTTTATGGAAGTTTGTAATTGGTTAGACATTAAATGCGTTGGTTTCTGGACGGATATTAAATTTAAAAATTGGCAAGTATTTTTTTTATTTAAATTCAAGGTTATTTTTTCAATTATCAGTTTTGATTGTCAAACGAACAAATTATAAAATAAACCAAAATTGTTATAGCGAATTTATAAAATGGCTTTAGAATGCGTCAAAATGTTACAGCCAACAAGAGTAATAAAACTAATGACATCAACTCCTACAATGAATAATACCGTGTTCAACATGGAAAACATGGAAACAAAACGAAACCATTAAAAATGGCGACGGTCCGAGAGATGCAACTACTGCTCCGACAGAAACTCGAAGAGGTCCGTCAGAGGGACCGACTTATCGACGAGTTGGAAAAAGAACTCGAGGAGAAAGACCTACTCATTGAAAAACTATGGAAACAACTTGAAAAGTATAAGTCCATCCTCGAAGCTCAGAAGCGGGTCGAAAAAATTAACCGAGTTCGTTGTAATTGTCTTAGAGATCGAGTCGGTATTGAGAATGGCTCGGCACAGCCTCTTTACGGTAATCTGTTGAATGTCGAGAACAGCGGGTACAAGTTTAACGTCGATGATTGCGATGTTGTCGGTAACGCAGCCGCTGAAAAAAATGACGCGAAGCCTGAACTTAATAACAGCAGTAATGAAAAAAAGGTTTCCAGTAGGGAATGTCCATGTGGAAGAAGTAACTGCAGCGGCGATTGCAGCCACACTCATCGAGTTAGCATCATCGAAAATTTTTTCCTAACCAATATTGAAAACTCACCGAACAAATCGCAAACAAGACCGACAAAGTCGACGAGTTTTGGAGGGGGTGCTATCAGTCCTTTCTTCTTAACAACTGCCTCAACAACATCCACCACAACGCCCAACGCTACGACGACGTCCATTGCCAAAAAATTAATAGCTTCAAAATCAACCAGCTGCAAACCTCGACACAGCATTTCCTCGCGTCTGTCGCTAATGAGTGCCGAGAAGCTGACTTTCGTACCCCTTATCACTCCATTTCTATTAACGACCAAACCAGCGACAACAACTTCACTTTCGTCTCTCGTCTCGCCCTCGGCCACAACGACCAAGAACATCACCAACGCAATCATCCCTCCACCGCAAGCCACGTGCACGCCCACCGTCGCGGCAATTCCGACCAGCCCCGTGGAGATATGCATCGATGGTGTCGGCGCTGATGAAACGAAGAAGAAGGCAGACCATTCCAAGAGCCGGCCCAAGTTCGGACGCCACTCCCTTTCCATGAACCATCCTTCCATCGCCAACAATAGGCGTAGTTTCAACGAGGAACTTCCAACCGAACATTTCGACCGCAGCTTCAACTTTGCCAAAGAAAGTTTAAACATCGCTAGCATGCAGGATAAAGACAATAACCAAAAAAGCCTTACAATTAATCAAAATGTACATCGCAGTTTCGAAGACAACCACAAAATGACAACCACAAAAATCAATCTCAATGACGATGTTTCTATAACGTGTAATCGCAAAAACGAAGATGATAAAACCGACAATGGCAACAACACTGATCCGCTCATTCAAATAAAAACGCCATCTCCAACTCGGTCGAGTACCGACGATACCGACTACAAATCGAGCGAGCGAGTCAAACGAATAGCCATATCGGCTGAGCCAGCCAGCGCTCAGCTCTTCTCGTTAAACATGCTTTTGAACAGTCTCACCAGAGTTTCTAAAAGTAAAAAGTTCGTTGCGGTGTAGAAAATAAATTTTTTCAAGATCTTTTTAAACGTATTCTTTTTTAGTTATGCCATAAAATTTGAAAGAAAATTAAATTTTGTATTTTGAAAATAACAAAAAAATTGAGCTTTAATTTTGAAAGATTTTACGTCAACTCTCACTTATTAATTGTTTCCCTTGAGTCAGATTTTTTGTTCTAAAAAATTTCAAAAATAATTTTAATCAACAACACGTTGTTGGGGCTATGAAATTGCGAGACCGCGAATATTTTATTTTAAAATTCCTCTTTAATAACTTGCCTAAATTTTCTCATCATCAAATCCACACACGCACACACACACGCAACTCACACACTCACAACACACACACACACACACACACACAATAGCTCTACAACTTCAAGGAAGATATATGATAAAAATTATTAACCAACGGTAAGATTATTAAATTTACTGAAACGTTTCATGCGTTTGAAGGAAGAAAAATTATGTATGCAGTGAGAAAACATTTGAGAGTGAGAGAGTAACAAAAACACACATAAATACACATAAATACATTACATCGATATACAAACAACAAAACGTAAATATACAATATATGTATACATACATAAATAAATACACACTCACACACACACATATCAAGCTACAACAAAATTCACGCACGCGACGAAATAAAAAAATATACACACTCGAAAATATACTCCATACCTGAAGCAAGTCGATAATAGAGCTGACATGTTAAATTTACGACCTGCTGTTCCAAATTAGCTTATATGACAGTGTTTAGGCAATTTCCACACACACACACACACACACACACACACACACACACACCCACACACTTACGCACACACACCCACACACGCAAATAGACACACACACAAACATAAACGTACAGCATATTGATCAAAAATTATGAATTTGTTTTGAGGTAATACATTATTCATTAAGAAAGATTAGGTAAATATGGTTGTATGATACTGTGTTTTGTATGTATATGTACTGTATGTTATACTGTGTGTGTTTATATGTATGTATGTATGTATGCATGCATGTATGTATGTATGTATGTATGTATGTATGTATGTATGTATGTATGTATGTATGTATGTATGTATGTATGTATGTATGTATGTATGTATGTATGTATGTATGTATGTATGTATGTATGTATGTATGTATGTATGCATGTACGTATGTGTGTATGTAAGTGTGAGTGTGTGCGTGTTTATGTGTGTATAATAATAACAACAATAACAGCTACAAAAATATGAAAATAACTAAAAAATACATCGTCCAGATACAAAAATAATAAAATCAACCCAAAAAAAAATGAAAGAAAACTATTGAAAATAACTGGGTGGTCAAAATAAGAAAAAGTAATAATAATAAAAACAATAATAATAAATGGAAAGAAAATAAAATTAATAAGTTGGGAAAAGAAAGAAAGAAAAAACTTTGTCCCTTAATGAGGAATTATTACCAGCTCTGGTAACTATCAAATATATTGTATGAATACAAAACATACACACACATACAAACAAACAAACAAACAAACATACATACACACACACATACGCGCGCACACACACGCGCAAACATACAACTCTTCCTACTTGCAAAAATCTGTCAATTTATCTCTATACATATGCACAATTTTTTATCATGAAAAATGTGTTTACATGTGTGAGTGTATGTGTGAGTGAGTGTGTGCGTGTGTGTGTGTGTGTGTGTGTGTGTGTGTGTGTGTGTGTGTGTGTGTGTGGGTGTGTGTATCTATATAAGCTTGAATACACTGCCGTATTTAACACGGAAAATTGCAATAGAATGCAATTTATATCCATATCCATAAATGCTTTTTACATATTGATCAATTGCACTGTTATATATTGCAGTCTCCGCACTTAAACATACAACACGCCTCTTTGGAAATGCCCGCATGTACTGAGATATATATGTATCAAATATATGTATGTATGTGATATGTATCACTGCGTACTTTTGTGTATTTCTTGTATCTATTGGTATTCAGTATTCAATGATACAACCTAAAATACTACATACATACATACATACATACATACATACATACATACATACATACATACGTACGTACGTACATACATACATGCATACATACGTACGTACGTACATACATACGTACATACGTACATAACATAACATAACAAAGATTTTTGAGACTCTGAGACTTTTTTAAAAATATCCTACTTTTGCCAAGTTTGCTTCAAAGTTATTAGTTGTTTCTGCGCATATTATTTCATCTGCCAGCTTGTAACCAGTTAGAAATCCACTTGAGTGCCTTCCCTGTGATTCCACTCGCCTTTAATTTTAAGGTCAAACGTTTATGCGGTACCTTATCAAAAGCCTTAGCAAAACCTAAGCACACAACATCCACTTCTTTCCCAGTCACACATGCTATCTTTCGCCCAAGATTCAGTTATGCCGATAATATCAGGGTTTTCTTCTTCCACATATAGACCACACACACACCACACACACACACACACCACACATACATACATACATCAATACATATACGCACATACAAACACATAATAGTTCATTTGCACAGCATATGTATAATACATATGTTTGTAGAAAAGAAATTGAAATTTAAGGCCAGTAATCATTTACATGCAAATGAATATATGGCGTTTCAACGGTGTTTCTTGAAAAAAAAATTAAAAAAAGAAAACAAATTATTTTTTATGTTTTTCATTGTTTTTTACTCTAAATTAAATTATAGTTTGGATTTAACGTTGGCTAAATTTATTAGCCAAATATATTACGTTTTAAAATTTATACAAGAATTGATCTTTAGTGGTAGTCCGGTCGGTCGGTCGGCCCAATGGTTGTACTGTATGCATTGGGTTGTAGGTATTTTTACCAAAAATTTTTTACTGAGTGTAAGAAATTTCAGATTTTGATTAGTTTTGTAATTTTGCGTCATACAAATCGATCAATGAATACATACGAAGTATCATTAAAATATTTATTTAATATACACACACGCAACTTCCACACTCACACACAAACACACAAACACAAAACACGTACACACAAACATTCACATAAACACAAACAAGCACACACACACAAACACTCACATACACACTCACACATTCATATAAATCGCTTTATATAATTGCTATTACTTTTTTGTCTCTTAAGAAACCCTTATGGAAAGATTTAAGAAATTAATTTTAAAATTCTTCAAAAAAATATTTAGATAAATGATAAATTTTTTATATAAAAAAAACAATTAAGACTTGAACAAGAACAGTAATAAGAAGAAAATAGCAAGATGTTGAAATGAATTAATAAAAAGTTTAAATAATAACTACAAAAAATTAACAAATAAAAGTTGGAAAAAAAAGAAAAAATTGAAAAGTGCAGAAACATTTCTTGGTAATTTGGCTAGCTAGTCAGTTGATCGCCATGAAACAAAAAAGAAACAAGTAATCATCATCATCGTCATCATCGTCGTCATCATCATCATCATCATTACTATTATCATCATCATTATCATCGTTATCATTATCGTCGTCGTCATCATCAAGCTTGCTAGTTTCAAGAGGCTAATAATTCATCGTCATTAAAATTTTTCAGGGAAAATCTTCATATAACCAATATCATTATTATCATTCTTAAAAAATAATATTAAATTATAAAAATATAAATAACTTTTTATCATATATTTATTCATTCAGTCAGTCATTCGTTCGTTCGTACACTCGTTCATTCATTCGTCCGTTCGTTTGTTCATCCATCTATTCATTAGTTTTCCGTTCGTTCGTTCATTCATTCATTCGCTCGAACGCATGATAGCGGTAAAAATTCTCTGATAAAAAAGTTATTTCTTTGAAATTATATAGTAATAGTAGTAGTTGTGGTAGTAGTAGTAGTAGTTGTTGTAGTAGTAGTAGTAGAAGTAGTAGTAGAAGTAGTAGTAGTAGTTGTAGTAGTAGTGGTAGTAGTAGTATAGTAGTAGTAGTAGTAATAGTAGAAGTAGTAGTAGTAGTAGTAGTAGTTCAAACTGGACTAATTGACAGACTGATCGACCGATTGACCGATTGAGTGATTGGATGATTGATTAACTGGAAGGCTAATCAATTAATTTTGATTAAAAATTTCAGTATCATTAGTTTGTGCTATTAATTAATGTCTAATTAAAATTAAATTTTAATAAGCATTCAATGTTCTGAAAAGATTTCAGCAAAGCCATCTTTCCTTCTGAAGCATATTCTTTTTATTTAATTTTAATTAAAGGAAGATATTGAAAAAGGTAAGGAAATTTAATAAAAATTACCAAAAAAATTGAAAATAAAAAAAAAGCAAAAAAACAACGAAATAATAAAAAAAAGACATAAACATTTACAAATGAAACTAAACAACAAAATTGGAGAGACATCATGGAAAAAATTAAAAAAAAATGATCAAAAAATGAACGAAAACCAAATAAAAAACAATTTGTTATTTTATTCTTGCCCTTTCAATTCATTTTTTTCTATTTCCGCTTTTTCACTGCATTCAGCAAAAGGCTGACGTTGTAAACATCCGCCAATTTCATTTCGTCATTGTCACAGCAGCTGAATTTTTGGGCTTTTTTGACCAAATTTATCTCGGCCATCATCTATTACAATTTCATTCTGTGGGACTATCAATCGATTCCCACACACACACACACACACACCACACACACACCACACACACACTCCACACACACTCCACACACACACCACGCAAACATACAAACAAACAAACATGTGCACACACATACGCACGTACACACAGAGAGAGAGACGCACAAACCAATACTTCTCTCTGTTTTATTTAATTTTCTCCTTTCCTTCACTTAGGTACGCTGAGGATTGTACTTATTTCACGATAATTTGTTCATTACTTTTGAACACAAGGATACTTAGACGACGCCAACAAATTCACAAACATCAACAAAAAGTCAACAAACACAACTAAACATACAAACAAACAAACAAA